AAATACAGGTATACCTCGCCTTACGTCGGTAATTGGTTCCAGGAAAACGACTTAAGTCGAAAAACGACGTAAGTCGAATTTACTTGTTTCCGAATCTACTTGTCACTAGGCTAAACCACAAATTACCAATTCCGGTTCTGTATTTTATTTATTAATGCATCTTTAATAATATATTTATTAATAAGGATCTATTTTAAGCTTACGAACAAATAAATTTAGTTTTTAATATAGTACAGAAAAACGTAATCTAAATTTACGAATGCATGTACTGTAAATACAGTACATACTTGTAAACGTACATATTTTAATATGATTTTATGTGCTTTAAACGTTTTTATAGTGATATTATGACTTCAATATTTGTGGCGGACAGACGTAAAGTCAAATAAAATGACTTAAACTTGATTTTTATTTATCCATATACGGTTTTGACAAACGATGTATAATCGGGAACGACGTAACTCGAAACGACGTAAGTCGAGGTATACCTGTATAAATAAACATAGTAAAAAAGTACAGTGAAAACTGCCTAGGCGACCACCTGCATTTGACGGGCACCTGTCAAAACAGGCAAAAATTTCTGGCATGGAATAGTTTATCCATAGAGTCATCGTATAAGTTACCTGTATTAAACAACCACCTGTGTAACGCAACCGCGGGCATTGATTTTTGGTCCAAAACAACATACAACAACTGTAATAAGCGACCACTTCCGCAAATATATCTGGTCTAAACTATTGTTCAACAATGTTTCCCCCTTCTCCCACCCTTGAAATTAGGTACAGGTGTTAATGAATTAGTCTAGCAATAAAGGAAATTCATTTGTTTGTTCGAAATTGTCCAAAAAACGAAAGAAATGCAAAGTGCTGTTGTTAGAAGATCGTGTTAAAGTTATCACAACAGCAATTAGCGGCAAAGTTTAACTGTGGGAAAATGAAATTTATTAGTAGACCTACAGTATTTTCCTTGGGGGTATAAAATATCGTACACGATACCATTAATTGGCTGATCTCATCGTTTGATAAATTTTATTTTTATTTATTTATTTATTTTGAAACTCATATACAGTACATGTGTGATAAATAGTTTCTGTATCAACCTACCTTATTTCCACGATATTTTAAAAAAAATAATATCCAAGTAATTTTCGTAGGCAAAATATTCAAAAAACAATAAACGCATTAATGCAAAAATCAGTTTTACAGGCAGCCTTCCTTTTTCGATTCCGCAATGACAATGTGGCATGTAATGAAATTGTATAATGTGAAAAAAATAATAAAATCGTTTTATTATTAATTAATAATTTTTGTTATTGTACTTAAGAAAATATTAAATATTAAAAAAATACAGTATTTTTAAAGTTAAAATAAGATTAAACTAACGAATACCAAAACCAAAGTGATGTAGAGATACGACGCGCATGTATATCGCTGACATAATACATGTAACTGAGGAGCGAACGAAAACAACCAAGTCGAATCAATTAAGTCGGAAAAAAGAAAGTGTGCATTATATTCAAGAAAATGCAACTATTTTATTAATCTTTAAAATATTAGTATTAAATCTATCTTATAAAATCACGACGACTCCTGTAAATCAAGTTATCCGATAAGAATAAAATACACCTTGAGTTTTGCTTAGTAAAATATGTATGAAAATACGGTATTAGAGCACCACCTGTATTGGACGACCACCTGTCTAAAAGACCACTTTTTGAAGGAACCGTGGGTGGTCACCATAGACAGGTTTTACTGTATATATTTTTCATTTTTGGGTGTCTCCAGAATGAATTAATTAAATTCCCATTAAAACGTATGGTAAAATCGATAATTGGTTAACGAACAATTCAGATAGTGAACAAAGTCTTGGAACGGATTATGTTCGTTAACCGATCACCCACTGTATTATAATTGTTTTAATTTTAAGAACAAGTCAAAAACATTTAATTGATTAGCATTTTTTAGACTTCNAATGTTTGCGACGTTGTATCCAAAACTAAGACAAAATGAACCCAAGTTTTTTAATTCTTTTAAAATATCTATAAAATCATTTGACAATGGTTGGTCTCTTTTAGATTTCATCAATAAATAGATCAGTATCGAAATGATCGTTCTCCATTTTGGTCAACGTACGTCCACTTTACCCGAAAACGTGCGATCGAATGTACAGTAACATGGCAGCACATATATCTCAAAGCGCTCGGCTGACGCCCGCAAAACGCGCGATCGAATGTACGGTAACATGGCAGCACATATATCTCAAAGCGCTCGGCTGACGCCCGCAAAACACGCGTTTTAACAAAAATCTATCAACGCGCGTTTAAGTGTGTACGCCTATGTAGAACTCTTGGTTCTTTAAAACGCGTGTTTAAAAACGCCTAGTGTGTACACAGCCTTACTGACTACCTAGTTACGTATAAATACAGACGATAACTTAACAACACTGAGCGGCAGTTGCGATTTTGAGTCCCGCTCGGGCGGAGTATTTTTTTCCATAAAAATCTAGTCTGATAGTTCGATAATTCGGCAGATCGTCTGGCTTTAAAACTATTTTTGATTGGTTCCACATCTTCCTAATTTTTAAGCACGTGGAAATGACCAAAAAAGTGAGAAAAGTGAGAAAATGACCTGAAAAGTGAGAAAAGTGAGGATACTTCAGAAAAGTGAGTACAAGTGAGAAAAGTGAGCGACTCCGAGGCCTGCAGAGATGAGGCAAAAGATAATCAACAAAGCAGGACAATATATGTAATATATGGAAGTTATTGTTCCTTATAAAATAAAGCAGTTTTGGAACTATGAATGTGTTGCCACTACTTTTTATCCAACCTAAGTATTTCAACAAAGTATATTTCAATGAAATTCAAGGATATAATTCCTTAAATCTTTATTTGAATATATTGTAATAAAAATATAATTTCAATAAAATTAATTTCTAAACAAAAAGCATTAAATATAGTTTATATAACTTATCAAATTTAAAATACTTACTACAAGCCGAGGTGAAACAGTCATGTTAATCATTTCCAAAAATATTTCAATTGCTTTATTTTCAAGTAAAAAATGAGCAATATCCTGTAAATAAAAATAAATTCTTATAAGAATATAATGTTTAAATATCTGAAAAAACTGTACTTTGTCATTATTATTTTGATTTATTTTGAATTTACAAGTAATTAATGTTTTTAATATTAATGATATTTTACCGAAATTCATAAAAATTACTGTGTTTTCCATTTTATTTTATCCTTTCTACATTTCTTTCCTTCCATCCTTTACATTTGAATGTTGTACAAGGTAAGGTATCCCTTGTACAACATGGTTTGAAAATTGGGGAATATCCCCATACAACACAATTTGAGAATTTGGGAAATCCTAGATACAAAATTTCACAACTTTCAAGTGCTAACGCTGTTATTTGATATTTTTGTTATTCAAGTGAACATGCACGTTGTCTCAAATTTGCCAACAGATTTTAAAATATTGAAATTTTCAATTAGTTTTGTGCCTTTTATCAGATTTACTTCAATGAAAACTGATAGTGCAATTTTTTCTTCCTTGTCTTAGCTTTCCTATCAACCAGGTGTCATTGTCATTGTTTTCAGACTTTAGCCATAATGACTGTCACTGTGTTTTGTTTTTATAGATTTATCTTTGTGTTTAATAAAGTTTACTTAAATATGTTTAGATAAGTGTTATTAAACTTTTTCTTAGCCATAGATTAGTAATCATTTGTTAAAATTATGAACAAAATACAGTGATGCCTCAGTAATTGAACTGTTCCCAACTTGGGAAATTCAGTATTCTTTCAAAAATTTTGGAAAATGAAAATAATTGCTTAGTACTTGACTGAACAAATGTGACCCTCTGATACAAATTTTTTATTAATAACATATTTTTATTTCGTCATCCATGAAAAATTTTTCATGATAAAGATAAAAAATGAAAATGTTGCTGATATTTATAATCAAGATCAACAAAAAAGCTGAGATGACAATGATACTTTGTAAAAAGAACATGCCCTCGTTTAACTAAAATTAATATTAACATGTCATACAATATTTTTAATTGTTTGTTAATTATTGATTGCTTTAATAAACATATTTTTCCTAGTAACAGAAAAGAATGGCATACTGTTGTTAACTTTCGGAACCCAGCCCTGTTTTGCACTCGTCCTTTGTTTCGTATAGCACAGATTCACATAACATGGCACGTTTTTTGGAATATAACTACAATATTACATGAGGAATACCTGTATTATTTAAGATAGCTAACATTATAAAATCATTTGCAGCCACTTCTCACTTAACAACTAAGTTCTGTTCCTAAGATTAGGTTATTAAGCAAATTGGCAATTAAATGAGAAGCTTAATTGTTATTTATTTATTCTGGATTAAGAAAAGTTCTAAAAAAAGCTCCTACTTGATAGTTTTGTTTTAATTTGCATTCTTTACATATTACAGAACATAAAAATACAATCAGTAAAAATTATAAAAATAATACACCAAAAAATTAAAGTTCATTCATAAAAAAACATTCAGATAAATATTTCAATCATCAAATCCTTCAAATGGGATGCACAATTAAGTACAAATTTATAAATGAAATATATAGTCTTGGAGATTGGAGATGTCTTCATATAGGGAATGCAAGAACTACACTAAGATTAAGATAGGTGATTTCCTATGCTGGAGAATTGATAAGCCTGAGGAGTTATTAAACAGATAGAAAAAGTTTCAATGTTAACAATTTTTTTTATTATTCTTGATACTACTCTTCCATAACAGTGTTTAATTATATATATAAATTAAAAAGTTAACATTTAAATTAATTAAGCAATTTTTAAAAATCAGTATTAAAAATAATCTGATTATTAAATAATTTAACATTTTTGTAAAATAAATATCCATAAATTTTTAAAGATTTATTAAAATTTAGAAAAATTTTCAGTATACACAGGGTAGTTATAATTAAACAGATGTTTAGAGCTCTGTGTAGAAAGAACTATTGAACCAAATGCAGCCAAAATTGGTGTACATTCTTTCCTTTCCATGAGATTTTGATTTCCAAATGAAAAGTTTGTTCCAAAATTTTCTGATAGAAAGGAATTTGGCACTAATGTCATGACATTTGCATATTAGGTCATGGATCACCTTTAGAGTTTATATAGGATAGCAAAGTGGGTTCATTATGGATTAGTAACAAGTCATGGTGTTAATATTACCTCACCACACATCACTTGTTAAACTTTAGTATCAAAGAAGCAGCAATACTAGTGCTGCACTCAAGTGAAACCAGGAAGAATTCGCAAACTGTGAGAACAAATAAGTTCCAACTGCCTGGAACAACTTAATGGAGCAACAAATGGAGCATTCTCAAGGCAGCTATAGTGTGCATCTGATATCATGGCAACTGGATTTGCCCTACCTTAGTATAGAAAATTCTTCAGTGAATATTGCAATGTTACTCCTACAGGATATCTCAGTTACAAATTTCTTCCTGGTGATTATGGTCACTGAAAATCATTTACCATGCCATTCATAGTTCTAATGATGATTGATGATTCATGGCCTTGGCAAATTCTAAGGACTGATGAAGACAAATTTTATTTGAATGGAGTGGCAAATACTCACAAAGGCTGTATTTGGTCTGAAGAAAACAGACACATTTATCAATAAATTTCCTCATATCAACCAAAACTCACAGGTTCATGGCTTTGTTCAACATTGGATTATATTTTTTTGAGAAAATACAGCATCTGGGACAGTGATATGTTCTGTCAATGCTATTAAATATGGGACATGCTTCAAATCTTTGTCATCCCTGCACCTCAGCAATGAAATTGTTTGGATACTAATTATAACCACCATCTATACTATGAATACTATGCAAGATAGAGCAACCCTTCACATTGGCATCAATGTGCAAAGTTTATTGCATCAGTACTTCATGAATGAATCATTAGCTGATCTGATAGATGAAGGAAACATACAGTAGAACTGTTAGTCTGATCCATATATGCAATTTGACATGTGTAAAATTACCACATGTGGCATTGTAACCTAGGAAGAATTACAACTCATGGAATCTGTAATCATCCCATTAAATTGCAATAAAATCATTGCAATTTGCAGGGGTGTTAGCCTCAATTTTTCTGTATTGACAATATATCTAATATGCATATTGCAGTGACATTAGTAACAAATTTCCTCCAATGGACAATTTTTAAACTAAACTTTTAATTTGCAAAATCAAAATCTCATGGTCAAGAAAGAGTTCACATCAAATTTGGTTGGATTTAATCCAATAGTTTTTTATACAGCTCATGTTTAATTATAACCACTCTATTTAAAATTTTTAAATCAATTTTTATCCTTTAAATCAGAATATATTTCATAACATTTTTTACCTAATGAACTTATAAAGTTCTTAGGTGAATATACTACTTTTTGTGTTCCTTATAAAAGGTTCTTCAATTTGTCTGTGCTTGTTCAAAACAATTTTCATATTAACTTGCTAGATAAAATATAATTAATATTCAGTCTAAAAAGGTTGATTCAATGCAACAGTGTTGTCAGTTTTGAATTGTATCATATAGAACACTGATATAGAATATTATTTTATAATATAAAAATAAAAAAAATTTATTGATAATTTGAATTTTGTAATTACTAAAACTAAGCAATTTATATAATTTAGATGCATATTAATAATAATAACTAAATTTGACTTATAACTTTATCAAACAATCATTATATCAATCATATTTATATCTAATGGCTACTAATGAATTAAAAGTTCCTATATATAATTTCACTTTCTAAAAATTTATTATTCCATGTGCTATCATCATTAAATTCAGCCACAATTTTGCAATTTGTAAAATATTTATGTAACAATCCACGAAACCTTTTTTTATAACAGTGTTTTCTCCGTAACAAACTTCACAAACGTTTTCGACCTCCATCGAGGTCTGCTTCAGGTGGTGATTAAACGGTGTCTCCTCTTGACCATTGGAACGATGATGCCTGAGATGTAAATAATTGCGCGTTTCACCGCTCCGCTTGTCCCAGTTCGAATTCTTTGAACAAGTACCTCCACACCTGCGCGATCGTTTCTCCGCCTTTAAAGTTGATGCAGGTGCCCCCAATGTTGGCTTTATAAATCTCCCAGGCCTCCAGGTGACGGATGTGATCAATACAAAACGCCTGTCTGATTACTTTGGTGTTTTGGAAGTCCGCTCGGATTTCAGGGTCAGTAACGTAGGCCGACAAGGCGGTGGTGTGCCTGTAAAAGGTTTCGTGGATTGTTATTACTCAATGCAGTGTTATTAGAAGTTGTTTTGTATTTATGTATTTATTTATATGTAGATAAATATTTTACAAATTATTGCAAAATAATCTGTTGCAAAAAACATAATATTGAGATTCAAGTAAAATATATAAATATACATATTTATATATTTTACTTGAATCTCAATATTATGTGTAATTTTACAAGTAGTTATGAATTGATCAGCTCACTACTACTTTTATCTTCATCTTGAAACCTTTAATTTTGCAATTTTACAATTTAATTCAACATTTTGGTCATTTTTAATAAAACATTTTTTTACAATTTTCACGAGTATAGCATACTTTTAATTTGCTGAATAATGTTTATTATTATTATTTATTACTTAATTATTATTATTATTATAGTTTACTATTATTTATTATATAGGTTGACAAAAAGTTACTATATGTTCGTAATACACATATTTGTTTTATTTTTTACACTGAAATAATGTTTTTGTTTCTCCTACAGCAAACATCTGGTAAAATGTTCTTTTTAACTCTGCTGTTTGATTCTAGAGTATCTGCTAATTTTCATATTACTTGATGATATTTAAATTGCACAATTCTTTTTTCAACAAACTGTAAAATTCCAATATCAATTAACAGACAAATTTAAAAAATATATTTGCTATTTATCAAATGGCAAAGCAAACTATAAAGTTCATAATTAGCAGGATGTTTTTGTAGGGTCCATTCTAAGGGTAATAATGTCTGTCAACATTATGTAAATAAATCAGAAGTGAATATATTGTAATGTTGTATATTTATCTGTCTTAAAATAACTAATAACAAAAAAATAAATTGAAACATTAAATCAAAATTAGTGGTTGCATTGCAGATAAAATAACAATTTATAAAATGAATAATTTGTAGCTCCTAATGAAATAATAATAAAAAGAATTTATAGTGTAAATACATTCATAATAATTTAAGGAAACATTATAATAATCACTTTAATTATTGATAAAACAGAACATGGACAATAGATAAAAGTAAAACTATTGCTTGTTTTGACCAACATTTACACAACAATCGCACAACGTTCAAAATGTGTAGTCTTTTCTTCTCATGTAAAATAATTACATAAATATATATACTGTATATAATAATTTCTCTTACTTTATTGGAAGACATATCCCATAGCATGCAAATTTTCTCTTCTAGTTCAGAGTCTAATTCCAAAACATCATTTTCAGTTTTATTTTCTTTCTCTACAGCCTTGAAAATAAAATTTATAGTAATTTTAACAGTTTAATTTTGAATTAAATAATAAAAATACACACAATGAATAGATATTAAAAAAGCAATTACACAATTAAAAAGTAACAGATGTCTTAAAGAAAAACATTTAAAATTTGTTATCATCATTTATTCTCATATAAACAAATAAGCATTTATGTCTTATTTATATATAAGAACACTTATTCAAACTTTAAAATAATTAGTTTTAAGTTCACAGAACAATCACTACTAATAACTGAAATGACTACATTTTAAATCTTTCAATGAAATTTAAATATTAAAATTAGAGTCACATCAGAGAATGAGATTTAAATTCATTCGAAATAACCTCTGTTAGATTGATTTTGGATATGGGATGTTTTGGAATTATCATGTAAATTAGTTCAGTTTTATTAATAAATCTTATTGACCAATGCTTTAGTGCGAATTGCTTTGTAACACAAGAATTAAAATTGAAAAAATATTTAGAATATAAGCATCAATGTAAAATTTAAATATTACATTTTATTCTTAGACCTTATAGTAAAATGTTTTAAAATTTATTCATGAATATTAGCGATATTTTTTCTAGAATTAATTTTAAAGATATTCTAAAACTTTATTTCTTGTTTGTCAAGTAAATAAAGATGAGATTAAAATTTTAAAAATGTTTTTCTCCAAGTTTCTTGTAATATATTTGACTAGCAGAATGACTGCATATTTGAGCAGTTTTAGTTTAAATGTTTGTAGTTTTACTCAGAGTAACTTATACTCAGTTACTGTACAATTTTGAAATGTTTACTTTCTTCTATTTTATGTCATAAATATATTCATTTCTGTTCAAATTCTGTTTTTATATACAATAGTTGTCTAGAACACAACCTTATTTCAAAATACATGGTTATAAGTTACACTATTATAATTATTACTGTTATAGATTACTATAACAGTAATAATTATAATAATGTAATAACTTATGTAGTAATAATTTTCTTATCCTTTAGTTATAAGCATAAATTTTGCTATTCCAACTTTATTATAATGGAAAATGCATTTCAGGCCTTCTGACCTTCCTCAGTTCTTTGACTATTTCTTAAATTGTTAGTGACCACTGGATGAATTCACTTTGTGTTCATAAGCTTTGTAAAAGTGAAAGTAAATCAAATTTATATAAAGACTGATTAAAAAGAAATATATAAAATAAAATTAAAAAAAAAATCTAAACAGCTGTGTATATTTGTGTAAAAATAAATGTAAATCCTTTAAAATGATGATTAAATAAAAGAAACCTTTTATAATAAAATTAAAAGGTATTATTAATCATTTTAATTTTATTATAAAAAGTTTCCTTTATACTGTTCAGAAACTGCAAATCTTTATCCTGTACTAAGCTATATAAATTAATGTTTGGTATAAAAAAAAATCTTTATTTTTTCTTTATTTAAATAAGTACAGACAATGGACACATTTCCTGATAAAGTGAGTGGCTTTAGTATAGTTGGACAAGCTGTATCAAACTATTGACAGTCTGTTTCAAGTGAAATGGACATGCTAATCTAGCTGTAATAAAGCCACTTTATTAGGCAATGCATCCAATGTTTTACATTAAAAGCAAATAAAAATACAGTTGACTCAGCACATTTCCACTTTCCCAAGGAGAAATGGAAATGTGTTGAGTTATCTGATATGATGACTAAAACAAAGTTAAAAAAAACCACAAAACTACAATTAGGAAAATACAATAGTGCTTTATACAGTATACATGCAATATATCTCTCTGACCATTCATCACAGGCACTAAAGTTGGTTTCTACTCCAAGTACTCAGTGATTTCCATTGCTTTTTGTTTCAGTATTGGCCCTGAAACAGGAAGATTCGATGAACGAATTTGCTTTAGCCAATGTACCAGAGCATTATGACATCTTTGTACAACGACTTTCTCTGGCATTTTCAAGACAGCCGTGACAAAGACCCAAGAAAAAATTTCTTAATTTCCTCTTTTTTCTTCAAAATTTCCATCAATGTTGTTCTTGGAAGGTTTTCTTGCTTTGCAAATTTGGCTTGTAAAGTTTTTATTACATTCAAATTCAGATACAAGTTCATATTTTTCCTTCAGTGTAATTGTTGTTAGGTTTTGGATACTCATGTCTAACAGAAATGTGAAACACTTTCTGCAAATGACACATAAATGAAAGGTGAGAAAATGCAAAATTGGATTCTGCTATGACGTTAAACTGTGTGGTGTGAACTCATTTTTTTCAGGAGTGGAGTTGACTTATCCTATGTCTAAACAAGTGTGGGTCAGAAAAAGTATATTGATTTATCCAGTGGTGACAAGTTAAATGGTGTGAGTAAACCAGAGATTTTTAACATTAATGCCTATGTAAGTTGGCCAGAACCAGAGAAAACTGACTACTTAACTGACGGTGTCTAGTTATACCTATGACGACTTATGCAGACTTGACTGTATAACATCATCATAAAATAACAAAACATGTTAAAGTTAAAAAAAAATATTTCAGTTGTTTTGTCTGTCTTTCATTGTCTCTAAACAATTTTGTTCAATTTCTACATAATTAGAAATACTAATAATGAAAATTTGAATTAAAATTAGATCACCATTGTAATAATACCTGACATTTAACACCAATTTATTCATAATGTAGTAAACCTTATGACAAGGATAGTGTTAAAAATTATTCATCCTAAATAAAGAAATGAGCAGTCCTTTGACCATAAGAGCAGGATTCTCTACTATAGAGGAAAAGATGGTATTATGGAACACTGCGGGTATTATGGAACTACCCCATTTCAAACTGATAATAAAGACAAACTGTAGTGGATTGTGACTGAACTGAACTAGGCAAACATCTATAGCAAGGGGAAAACCCATTTTACTTCAGTTAACGGTTGTTTGTATTTAATCAGCAAATTTGTTTTTTTCAAAATTCGTAAGTTTTGAATGCTAAGTGAATTTAATTATTTTTAAAATATAAATCGTGTAGTTGTAGGTTAACTGGTGCATGTATTCCGTTCCAGAGACTTAGGGGTGCATATTAATCTGTGTGATGTTCATGTTTTTTAAATTTTGGTCTTGACAGACATAAGTTAATTCAAGATGGCGATGCATGAAATACGGACCCCATTGGTGCTTTTACAGTAATATGGAACTCAACTCCTACAAACTCTCTCTTTGCAAGCAGACATTCATCCGGAGCAATTTGTGAAAAAGCCAATTCTTCCTGAGAATATCGAAAAAGAGCTGCTGGAATATATATTGTTGATGGAGGTCATATTTTTCTATTATAAAAGCATTTTTGCAATAAAATACATTGGAGTAAATAATTTTGTAATTATTTAACATTTTTTGTACTTTCCTATTTGTTTTTGGCTACATTAAAGCATTTTTTGAAAATATACAGTAAGGTTCCATATTACCCCCGATTTTCTCTAAGCCTACTTTCTGACTTTTTGTAGAAAAGCCTTCAAAAACCATACTTATAGTTACACTAGCAAAACATCCAATTAGGAACATTTAGTTTAATAGTTACCAGTACTTTTTGCACAAAAACTGTGGATGTAGTTATGATATCTTGTTTACAATTCACTAAAATGTAATTGGGGTTCCATAATACCACCTTCTCTACATTTATATTTTTGATTTGTTATTTATATTTGCATAATGACTTATTTGGTGGACCCTGCTTTACAGAGCAGAGAGTTGAACAACAAATGCAAATAATGAAAAGAAATTAAAGGCATTTGAAATGTGGATGATTCAAAGAATGCTGAGAGTTTCTTGGAAGGCAAGAAGAACAAATAAAGATATCCTGGCAATTGCAAATCAGAAAAGAACCTTACTAGAAGTAGTAAGGAAAAGAAAAGTGAGTTATCTGGGGCATACTGTGACACCAAAGCCTACAAAAACTATTACTGGAGGGAATGATTGAAGGACAAAGAGGTAGGGGTAGGCCAAGAATGAAACGGTTCAAAAACATCAGGAAATGGACATACTTAATGTATCAAGAGTGCTCAAGAGAAGCACAAGATAGATCATGGTGGCATGAAATGGTTGTCAACCTCCTGACAGGAGAAGACACCTAAAGAAGAAGAAGAATGACTTATACAAGATCAAAAATCAAAATATAAAACACCAAACATTTACCTATTATAAAATATACCTATTGTAATAAATTATACAAAAGTCAAATATAATGAGTGCAATGCTCAGTAATTTAATAATTTTATTAAAATTACTTCACTGTTTTATCAAGTAATAATATAATAATTAACTGATAAGAAAATAATTTTTACATACCTGCATAACAGATATCAAAGATTGGAAAAGCCAATGTTTGCTAAATACTGTTTCCCCTATTTTGTCAGGAACTAGTTCATTATTATCAGTTAAAAGTTCAGGAGGTGGTGGTGGATTACAGTCTGAAATATAATATGAAATTATTATAGTTAAGCTTAAGGTTTTTTTTTCCATTTATTCAAGGATTTTTACATCTTATGTAATAATACAGTACATTCTTGCTAATCCGATCTTTTATAATCTGGCTGGCCTCTCAATTATCTGGCATATGTGTGATTATCTGTGTACTCTGTTCCCATAAAAATGTTAGTCATGTCACACATCCTATTTAACTGTTTACTCAAATTTTATTTCAGCTATGTACAGTAAATGTTAGTGTATGTATTATTTGTCTGCCTGAATCTAAAAAGAATCAGTTCTAAAGAGTAACAGGTTACAACATTCATTATCTTTAGACAGGCTTTAAGCCTATACACTCAGTAATCTGGCACAACTCTGTGAACGAAATACTGAATTAGCAAGAGTCCATATATTTTGCAAAAATTACTTTAAGAACAGAAATTTTAAAATATCTTTTTAAAAATTTAATCCTACAATATATTATCACAAGTATTTATTTTAGCAATTTATTATCAATAAGGTTCATTTCAACAGCAATGGAGTTTTGATATTCTCCATAGTAGCTTCTTATTAACTTCAACACATTAGATTTCACTAATCAATAAAATAATCAATTCCACATGTTTTAGTAAAATGTGAAAATGATTGCATTGACTTTTCTATAGACAAACAGTATTAAATCATTTGGAAATTAAATTCTAACAGCATTGATATAAAAAAAATTTTATGTACAAACATTAGTGTAGAATATGATGGCAATATCTACACTAACAGATATTGGGAAGCTGTAATAGAAAAATTTTACTTTAATATCTATTTGAAACTTGCTTATGAATATATCAACAAAATATATATTCAAAAAGCTAAAAATGAAAGATTTTTATAAAACACATAAGATTTTATATTTAACACATTAAATATAAAAAGCAAGAAAATAAAAATCTGTCAGGCATAAGGAATAATACTTTTAAAGTTTCATATAACTTTGTAATTTTGTTCATAAAGGAAGTTAAATTTATGAATTTGTTCTGGATAAAAGAATATAATCCATTATAAAACAACCACTCAAAACTGGATAAACTTGATAAATGCAGTAACTGAAACCAAAAACCAACAGAAATAGTAACAGAGCTAATGTTTTCACCTGTGTTAAATGGGCATCATCAGGCTAAATGACCCTGCAGCTGTTAAAACAACAGAGAATTGCTATACAAGTGTCAAGGGAAGAGGAGACGTAAGAAAGAAGGGAGGAGGAGAAGATAGAAAGTTTACAGTTCATAGAATGTCTTCCACATGGGGTAGGAATCCACATTTCAGATATTTAGAGCAGGCTTACATGGCTGCCCTGAAAAAAATACCACCATTAACTTTTGAAATGTGGATTTCTCCTCCTGTGTGGAAGACATTCTATGAACTGTAAACTTTCTATCCTCTCCCTTTCCCTCTCTTTCTTAAGTCACCTCCCCTCTTAACACTTGCACAGCAACCTCCCATTGTTTTAACAACTGCAGAGTCATTTAGTCTGACAATGCCTATTTAACCCAAATAAAAATATTAGCTCTGCTACTTTTTCTGCTGGTTTTTGGTTTTGGTTGCTGCATTTATATTCCATTATATAACATAATGCCATTGAATTTAAATAAGAACTAAAGTGCTTTTTCCCAATTAAAAACCTCTTGAAAACAAGATTTGATTTTCATTAAATAGGTAATAATATTGATTGGAATATTTCTCAATTAAAAAAAACAAAAAAAAAAATTGTTCTACTTACCCATTTTAAATGTTTTTTTTTCACAATTTATTTAAATCTGTTGAAAAAAAATATTATTAAACTTATTAAAATCAATTATTATAAGACAAAAAATAGATATTATGAATATTAGAAATAAATTAAATAACTGGAATTTAACAGTTCAAGTCCATACTCATTTATGTATTTGAATTTTATATTATTTTTATATTAATCAATCATATTTAAACACTGATAATAATAAATAAAAAGATAAACTAAATTCTAGTTTTAAAGAATTTTAGATTAACTATTCCACTATTTAAAAATGTACACATAAATTAGTGTTTTATTATTTTTCATAAGTGAAACCTAAAGATAAATATGCTATTTATCATTCATAATGATGTGTAACAAAAATATTTAATTATTAATGTCTAAAGCTATTATATCTTTCAAATGTAAATACAAATAAAATACCAATTGTCAAAATACTGGCTTAATATGTAAATAAATCACACCACCAACACCAATAACCAGCAAAAACAAATGTATGTTATAAACAGAAGAAAATGTTAGTTACAGTAAAAAATTTTTCAATTTCCTTGTTATTGGTTGGTGATGTGATTTATAAACAAAATATTACTAATACAGTAATATTATCGAAAACAGTTTGTAAAGTAGAAGTACCCAAAGCAAAAAAAATGAATACACAACATTTGAGTCTAACTGTGATATTTCAGTAACATGTCAAGTAACATAACCATAAGCTATTGAAATATAATACTTAATTCATCCTAATACAGGTATACCTCGACTTATGTTGTTCCCGATTATACGTCGTTTGTCAAAAAAGTATATGGAAAAATAAAAATCAAGTTGTCATTTTATTCAACTTTATGTCTGTCCGCCACAAATATTGAAGTCGTAATATCACTAGAAAAGCATTTAAAGCACATAAAATCATATTAAAATATATACATTTACAAGTATGTACTGTATTTACAGTTCCTGCATTCATAAATTTAGATTACTTTTTTTCTGTACTATATTAAAAACTAAAATTTATTTGTTTGTAAGCTTAAAATAGATCCTTATTAACCATATATTATTAAAAATGCATTAATAAATAAAATACAGAACTGGGAATGGTAATTTATGGTTTAGCCTAGTGACAAGTAGATTCAGAGACAAGTAAATTACGTCGCCTCTCCTGGAACCAATTACCAACGTAAGAGACGAGGTATACCTGCACATCTAACACAGTGATTTCCAACTGGGGGTACATGCTTGGTGATTTAGGGGTGCACAAAAAAATTAATAATGGCAGATGTACTATAAGAATATTTGGATTCTGCATTGACGCCTTTGGCAATGTCATGGCAATCAATACTTAGTTTTAAATAAAAACAGAATTATATTTTTATTATATTTATCTACTTCCTTCCTGCAACATTTTTTGATTTAAAAAAAAATTTACATGTAACTGAACAGTGCTGTATATTGACCAAAGCACCACTGTTTAACGAACACACAAAATAAAACTTAGCAAAAATGAGCTGCCAAGGCATATGCAAGTCAAAAAAGGTTGGAACTGCTACTCTAACAAAACTTAATGTTCAAAACAATTCATTCTTATTTATGTTTATCTAATAACAAAGAATTTTTGAAACCAAACTTTTTCATATTCCTACCAAAATACATTTATTTTATATAATAGAGATACTGGTAATTAACATTTTGAATGCAATTAGTTTATTAACAATATCTGCTGATGATTGGATGACCAAGGCAGTTAAAACACCAGCCTACCGTTAAATAATCCAGAATCAAGTTTTTTGGGGTATTCTGTCCTGTGTATGTCAAACCCTGTCCTCACCACCAATATGTTCCCACTGTAGATCTGATTGAACCCATAATGGATATGGAACAGAGGCCCTCTTATTGTTCACAGGGCAGAAAGAGTAAAAATAAAATCTGTCACTCAATTATTGCTTAATCATTAAATTTTCTTGTTTCATTTTCAATTATATCAATTTTCAAAATAGAATTTAATTTCTATTTTGAAAATTGCACTGCATTCTTAGATAAAATAGAAATCTAAAAAATTTAAACTAATATCAAAGTTTAAACTGATTAACAAGCAAACATATTAATAAATAAACTAACTTAAACTATGATGTCAGATTAAAATTTTTAGATTCAAATTTTAACTATAAAGTAAAACATTTTTATATTAATTTAAAATATTGTTAAAATCCATAAATTCATATAAATAACTGTTTTTAATTTTTCATTCACTTTTGTAAAATAATATAAAATTTATGTTGTACAAGTTTGAATTCTATACAATGCATAAAAGAATAACAGAAAATGAAACTAACTTTACTCTAAAAAATAACCATTTTTAAAATAATAATTTTAAATGTAATAGAATATTCAATTTTGTTATGAGAATTGAACAAATTATATCTTAAATTGAAACTTTTGGCTTTGTATTCCATATTAATATGTGTTTTCCTAAGTAAGGAAATATAACTATTTCATATTGACCACCTTAGGTTTTAAATACACATTTTCATCAGAAGTTCAAAAATTACTTTATTTGAAAGGTTTTTGAGATCAATGTCCCCACTTTAATGCCAAATAATACAAAAAGCATTCCATTATAATAGTAACATAATCAAAATTCAATGTTTCTCTTATATTTAAAACTAAAAATAAAAAAAAAAAGGTTTGAAAATAGCTTTATTCAATCTTACACAAATTCTTATACTATTCATAATATAACTAATAAATATTCCTTACTACCTGCTCTAAATACTTTTTGTTCTTTGGAGTTTGAAAAAAATTTTGGCTTGTTTTACTAAAGAAATGATCCAGATCTACAAAACATTTTAAATAAAATTTTTGAATTTTATGGCAAAAATTTGTGTTCAGAATTTGAAGATTTGTTTTTTATTTCTTACAATTTTCTAAATTGTCTCTCTATTTCAGTGCAATACAATTTTAATGAACACAATGTTAAACAAAGCAAAAAGATATGAATGACATCATATCAATAAAATCCAGCAACGAGTTGCTTAACTTTCCTGGCAACATTTAAAACTGCATGTGACACCATCTGATATGATATTATTAAAAACCTTTTATATTTTTAATTATTATAAAATGACAAAACTTTATTTTGAGGATAGAGATGAATTTTATAAAAAAAAACTGTAAATGCTAATAATGAGTAATATTGTTATTTAAGTCCAATCCTACTTAAAATTTTGATGCTGCACTCAAGAAATGTCAGGTTTAATGGTTTTCTATCCAGTTAAAAATTTATATACTTAAATAATATAAAACTAAATATATACTTAAATAAATGATAAAAAGTGAAGAATGAAAATATTTTTAACACACTGTATGCTAGCAGTTATGCTGGAACTGGCAATGTTGAGAATTGGAACACATCATACAATGCATACACCAAAGAAAATACAACAAAGTGGCCACACGACAAACTACAACTGTATTACAGCCCACCAATTTCTGGAAGCTGGATATTTCGTCTGGTACAGTATTAATTAAAAGCCGTATCTTTTGTGACATGCAGAATTTCAGGAGTCTATTATTAAAAAAAAATTTTTTTTTGGCTGGCAAAAGCAAAAGTGGAAAGCAAATTGTTTATAGTTAGATATAATTTATATATTTACAGTATATCTACAATTGTTCTAATCACTAACTTAAAGGGGTATTGATGTTAACATCTATTGTGTATTTAAGGAAAGATATAATATACTTATCTATTACGTACATCACAAGAAAAATATTTTAAAACTATTAAATATTAAATAGATTAGTTTGGTTTGATATAATTATTATAAAGATTTTCCTTATTGTCAGAATAGGATTTTTATAAAAATCTATTTTATTTTCAAAGATAAGAACTCAAGTTAATGTCAAACAACACATATCAAAAATTAGCAACACAAAAAATTGAAAAATACTCATATTTGTCATACAAACATATGCAATACTGTAATCATAGATTCATTTCACAACTATAACATAAATCCCTCAAATAATCTATGATATTCTGAATCATGTAATCTTGGACAAAGTTGTTCATATAATGATTGACATCATTGCAGTTTTTAATTTTTATGAGACTGATTTCCTGCTAATTTTGTATTATGCTTCCAAGAAGTTCTAAAATTGTGTCAAAATTACAATTAATTCCTAAGATGGAAGATTTCAGTTGTCAAATTGGACCAAGAGATCGTGTTAATGAGGAAACAGAGACAGGAGGGAAAACTACATATTTATATCAAAATAAATAAGATGAGAAGATGAACAACACAGGGGAATGTCAACTGGGAGAGAGAGGGAGCTTTGACAGGATGCTCATACAGGAGTTAAGAAAATCAAGAAAACGGGGGGTTAATAACCGAAAGAACATGTTAAATTGTTTAAGTTCTAAAACATCCAAGAAAAGACAATAATGGAGTAAAATACGAGTGCAGGTTTTTAAGCTCCATCTACACCTCCCGGTCAGAGCCCACGGAGGGTTCGGGGGAGCTCCCAGATGCAGACCTTTCTCATGACCTGAATAGGTCTCAGTTTTTGCCTGAAGACACGAGAATGACAATCGGGAAGAAGAAGAAGGGACGAATGACCAATAAAAAAAGCAAAGGGAGAGGGTCAAAAAACATATAACAACCCCGGAATTTAATGTCAAGAGGGAGTTTTTCATTAATTGTGTGCTGCAACTAGGATCCGCATCCCACCACATGGTGATTGAAGATATCTTATGAATACCCCAAGTCACCAACTTGTGCCTGCGTCTTCTAAGTTCCCACCAAACACCAAACAGTCATAGCCCTGGGGCCTTCAGCCATCCTTCACCTAGAGCTCAATATCCTCTGAAAGGAACTTTATCTCTGAATGAGCCTCGCAACTATTTCATGTCTCAAGACTGAATTAAGATTGATCTTATGTAAGTTATCTTAAGTTTCAATAAATGATTTACTATTACACACTTGTCATCTTTGTCTCTGCTGCCACTACTCACCCATGAACGGACCCTAG